TCTTTCTTTCTTTCTTTCTTTCTTTCTTTCTTTCTTTCTTTCTTTCTTTCTTTCTTTCTTTCTTTCTTTCTTTCTTTCTTTCTTTCTTTCTTTCCGTTCTTTTTTTTTTCCTTCCCTCAACAGCATGAATGGCTGTGGCTGTTCTTTGTCTTTCTGCCTCTTCTCTCGTCTTTACTGTATTGAACTCGGCCACGGGGTTGGGGTCGCTGTGACCAGAAAAGGGGAGCGGGGGGGATTGGTGGGGTCGGGAGGAGGAGGAGGCCCAAGGATTTGCAGCCTCAAAGTAAGACAGCTGCCCATCCAGAGGTTACCGATAGCTCCACCTGCCCTTTTTTTGTCTTGTCGTTTCTTTTCCGGGCTGTTTATTTTATTTTCTCTGTCTTCTTCTTACCACCGTTCCCAACGTACACGATTTATCCCTTCTGCACACCGTGGCTGTAGATCGGTCATACACACCCTCCCTCTCCCGCTGCTGTGCCTTGCACCCGGTTCTCCCACAGTCTGGTTGGGACTGATGGGGATTGTAGTCCAAGGCGTCTGGAGCGTTCGACCACTTTGGGAAGAATGGTCTGAAGCTGCAGGCATAATTCCGGTGTCAGGATGCGGTCAAACGTCTCAAGTTCTTGAGATGAATTTAGTTGTGGTCTGAGGTCTTCGGGGCTCCCGGAGCTTGGTGGTTTTTCTACAGACGTTTCATGACCCAACTAGATAACATCATCAGTGTTAGAGGGGAGTGGGGTTTGCTCTCTGTTTCTATACAAGTGGCTGTTCTGACCTAGGCTTCCCCGAGATCATGAAGCAGACTCCTTGTCCCAACAAAACCTCTTTTATTTAGGTTAAAATGAATTCCTCGTCCTGGCAAACAGAGATTATCAGGCTTGGAGAATTGCCAGGATGATAGCTTCCAAACGCCACGCAGTAGCAGCAAGTACTTGTCAAGAAACCAGGAACAGATCTTCACTCTAATGAATTGAACTAATTGTCTCCTGCAAACATCACTCCTCTTTATTCCCTAAGGGAAGGGCCATTCACCGTCCACCTGAGTCTTTACTCCCAAGTCGACCTTTCTTCCTTAACTGTTCCCTTCTCCTGGCAGCTCTGTGCATGCGCACACTGGGAACAGGCTCCAGCTGTTCTTCTTCCCCACTGATCTCCAACTCCGAAGGCAGCTGAAAACTGTCAGACAGCCCTGGCCCCATCTCTGCCTCCGACGCAGAGCCCTCGTCAGAGCCTTCCCCAGACTCCAGGATGGCCCCATGTTCCTACCCCACCTCCTCACTGTCGGAGTCTGCCGCCAGCTCCACTGGCTGCTGGTGGGCCACAACAGTGGCTCGGTCTAACAGCCTAATCAAGGAACTGTCAAGAACCACCTGGTTCTTACTATTGAAAGTGCAAGCCACTTGTATGTAAGCAGAGAGAAAACTCACACTGATGATGTTACCCCGTTGGGTCATGAAACGTCTACAAGAAAGCAACTAAGCTCAGAGAGGTCAACCCTGAGCTACAAATACTCTCTTCTTGGTTGTGGTCTGTTAGGGCGTGTGTAACTAATCTCACCTTGACCAAGAGAAATTAGAACGTCAATAAGTAAAAAAATGGACTTTATAGCAGGGGTCTCCAACCGTGGCAACTTTTAGCATCTCTTTATACATTGGGAACAAGGACACCTTGTTTCAAGGGATTGGAGCTTGCTGGCGGGATGCCACATAGCTTTTGGGGGGGCAGAGGGAAGGGGAAACCACCTGGGATGGGGGCGAAAAGGGGTGGTGGGTGAAATAACATCCTTTCTGACCGAGAAAAACAACGGGTGGGCCGGTGGATTGGAAGGAAAACTAGGCCGTTGGAAATGACCAGGCTTTGGTTTTGGATGGTTTCTTAGGTTTTGGGTTTTTTTCATTTTGTTTTGTTGGTTGTGGTTGATTGGGTGTGGGTTGTGGTTGTTGTTGTTATACAGGAAGAGTAGGCCAAGGCCAAGACGGAAATGGTTGTGGTAGCTGGGAAATTGTGTAATTGGTTTCCCTTGAAAGGGGAAGGGTCTTTGACCCACCGCCTGCTCCTCCCCCCCCCCCAGGAGGAAAGGCTAAGGACCTTTCTGGGCTCCTATCATTCGCTTCCATCGGCCATCCTTGCCCCCTCCCCACTCCTGGTCTCTCTTGAGGGGGGTCTTGGAAGAAAGCCAAACTAGGAATAATCTAGGTTGAGATCTGGGGCCAAGAATCACCCTCCCTTCCTTTCCTCTCTTCCTTTCTCCCATTCGTTCCCTCCCTCCTTCCCATCCATTTCCTCCCTCCTTCCTTTCCCACCAATTTAATTTCCTTCTTTCCTCCCTCCCTTCCTTCCTTTCTTCCTTCCTCCCCACTCATCTATTTCCTTCTTTCCTCATCCATTTCCTTCCTTCACACCCATCTATTTCTTTCCTTCCTTCGTTCCCCACCCATTTTCTTCCTTCCTTCCTTCCCCTCCCATCTATTTCATTTCTTCCTTCCTTCCCCACCCATTTTCTTCCTTCTTTCCTCCCTCCCTTCCTTCCTTTCTTCCTTCCCACTCATCTATTTCCTTCCTTCCCACCACCTATATTTCTTTTCTTCCTTCATTCCCCACCCATTTCCTTCCTTCTGATCCGTTGTTTCCTTCCTTCCTTCCTCCTTTCCTCTCTTCCTCCTTTCTTTCTTTCTTTCTTTCTTTCTTTCTTTCTTTCTTTCTTTCTTTCTTTCTTTCTTTCTTTCTTTCTTTCTTTCTCTCTCTCTCTCTCTCTCTCTCTCTCTCTCTCTCTCTCTCTCTCTGTCTCTCTCCCCCATCAATTAACTCAGGGCATCTCTGCTTCCTGGGAGGGAGACCTGGGGCAGGGCGGGTTGCTCGGTGGTCTTGTAACCCCCTGAAAACCTGTCTTTTGTTTCCTGACTGGCTGCTGGAGGAAGAAGCCCAATTCTTCCCTGTTCCTGGCGGCATCCTTCGACGTTCAGACCTCCCAGCTTGGGCAGGCTTCTGTGTTTTTTTTCCTCCTCTTCCTCCTCCTCCTCCTCTTCCTCCTCCTTCCTTCCTTTAACTCCTTTTCTCCTCCGATGCAGCCTTCTCCTTATACAGCTCTCCTGGCCTATCCCTGGCGAGTTTCGTTTCCTTTCCCTTCCTTTCTCTCTCTCTCTCTCTCTCTCTCTCTCTCTCTCTCTTTCTCCCTCGGCTGGCATGCTTGTCTGATGCATGGATGCTTTGTCTGCATGGAAAAATGCAACATGTTTTTCACCGCAAAAATCCCTCCTTTTTTTTTTCTTCTCTTCGCTCCCAGGGCATATCTGCATATTTTTCAGCCTATCCAGATTTCTCTTCTCTTAAGTCCCGCAAGGATTTCCGATATTTGGCAGGACGAGGGGATGTTTTCAGAAAATTAGAGGAGAAGTCTCCCTTTGCATTTCAGTCAAGTTTGACACTTCTCAACCTGTTCTGAACCAAAATGTACTTTTCAGGCTATTATCTCTCTCTCTCATGCTAGGTTTGCAAGAGGAAAAATTGCCCCCGAATACACAACATTGGAAGACATGATTTCAAAATGTTATTTTTATGCAGGGTGTTCAGGAATATGTGCATATCTTATGCTCCATGCATAAACCAGCATGATTTTTTTTATTTATTTTTGCCTGTGTGTGTCATTTTTGGAGTGACTTATTTGTTTATTTACTTAGCATAAGACACAGAGGTCACGCAATCACTGATATTCAAATTTAGTTTTAACTAAAGCAGCTCATCAACTCGTGTGATGATAAAAACTGATGTAAACAAGCAGGTAGGAAAAGTGTTGGGAAAATGTTAACACTAAACAAGGTTGTAGAATGGAATAGAGAATAGAATAGAATGAATAGAATAGTAAAGGAATAGAATAGAATAGAATGGAATAGAGAATAGAATAGAATAGACAATAGAATAGAAAAGAAAAGAATAGAATAGAAGATAGAGAATAGAATAGAATAGAATAGAATAGAATAG